TCCATCTTGAGCCAGGAAGAACTTTCCACTAAGCCCCCTTCACAACCCTTTGATGTTTAGCCCTTTATCATCTCCACTTTACAGAACTTCAGAACAAATTGCTCATGTTCATACCCCACCTGTGAGTGGCAGAGACTGATTCCATCCTGATCTGCTGGAAACAAACAATCATGAGGGTGTTTTTAACAGAGTAGGGAAGAGTTTGTGATATGATGCCAAGTGACAAAGGAGAATCTACCATGACTCCAAGATTTTAAGAAGAATATGAAATTGTTGCAAAATACAGCATGCAGAGAAGGAAGGTGAAGAGAGGCCACAGGAGTGCTGCAGGTGTGAGGAGTGAAGGGACTGGAGGCCAGCTTCCAAGCCCTGGAGCACCACTTCCACTTTACCATGACCTCAGTTGAGAGATCCTGCAGGGAGGCCCTGGACCAAGCAGAGACCAACATCTGGTTGGTCCTTGAAAGGGTAAGAGATCTGCTGGACTTGGCAGCTCTGTCAGCTAGAGCACTCTGTCCCCCATTTACCTACCCACTGAGGAAGTTAAAGTACAGTGGCCTCTGATTTTGACAAACAGCTAATAGTACCAACCTTGAGAGAAGGGCCTGGGCTCAGATGAGCTTAAAATCAAAGGAGCCAGCTGGTTGTGGTGGCACACAAATTCCATCAGCTTGGGAGGCTGAGGCAGGAGGATTGAAAGTTCAAAGGCTGCCTCAGCAACTTAACAAGGCTCTAAGCAACTCAGAGAGACCCTGTCTCTAAATAAAATACAAAAATGGGGGCTGGGGATGTGGCTCAGTGATTAAGCACCCCTGGGTTCAATCCCTGGTACCCCCCCCCCAAAAAAAAAAAAGAAAGAAAGAAATCAAGGGAGGTGGGTGGGGGTGATTCTTACCACCTGGAGGGCTCTCAGAAATGGCAGGGGAGGTCTGAGGATTAGCATCAGCCTCTCCTGCAACTTCATAAACTCCACAACAGATGGCTTCATTATCAATGGGGAAACTAAGGCACAAAGAGACCAGGTCACTAGACTAGAAATTTGACTGCTTGTATGAGTGAATCTGACTCCATGTCTGCTGTTGGCCACAGAAAATAACAATATCAACAACAACTGAGGCTGGGTACCCACTCAGGGTGCTCCTCATAGCTTCGCAGGTAATTGTGTCCTCCCACACAGGACACTTCAGGCACCCAGCCCAATTGTCAGTGACACAGGAGGTCCCGAGCTTTTATCCTCAGGCCTGCAGGAGCAGTGGCTCTTGCCAAGAAAGCGTTTCAGGCAGCACTCTGTGTTTAGAGATTCTGTAAACATCTGCTGAATTGGAGGGAAATATCCTTAACTGTTTCAAAGCCAAAAGATAGAAGGAATACTGTTTTTCACTTCCCCTGAAATGAAATCTGTTAACTGGGAACTCCAAAAACTCAATCCTCAGGAACTTGAAGCCTAAACTTAGATTGTCCTTGGAAGGTCAAAGGATCCCTGTGGGGCAGGGTCAGCCAGCAGCTGCTCAAGATAAACTTTGCTTTTCTGCAGACTCAGGTCTTTCTCTCACACAATTAATGAGATCCTGTGGCACTTCCCCTGGGAGAGCAGAACAATAGCTGTGAAAGAGCAGGTGGCCTTGGCCAGGCTTGCCTTAGAAGCCCCTCACCAGAGATCAGGATTCATATCCCTGAACAGCCCTGGGCACCTTCTGACTTTGGCCTGTAAGGCCCTGTCCCACCTCAGCACTCTGGCCACTCCTGCCTCCTTCTGCTCTCCACCCCCTTAACTGATGCAGAGCCCCACCCCAGGGCTCTGGGGAGGGCTTCTGGGGATTGAACCCAGGACTTTATGCATGCTAGGTGAGCTACACCCCAGCCCAAAATGCACCTAAGCATTTTTAAGATCTTGCACCAGCACTTCCTTCTGTTCTACTGGAAACTTCTTTCTGGGACTGCTGAAACTTTTCTTTCTTTCTTCTGAGAGGCCTTTACTGATCTGTTTCCTAACCAGTTATTGGTTTATCGTCAGTTCCTTCAGCTTCTTGTGCTGTGTGCTCTGGCAGAGAAAGTGCCAGGCACACAGTAGTTGGTCAGCTCCTCAATGAGAGGAAGGAATGGTGGGTATGTCCTGGTGATTTGAACTGTGCCACTGGAGGCAATCCTTGATCTGGAGATAGGTTTAAAGAGAGCAGAATCAACCCTGGATGCCATCTCTAGGCCTCTGCAGTGGCTCTGGTTTTACTGCAGGTCAGGACCATGACCAACATGTGGAGCCTGAGATTCTACACCAGAGAGACATGAGCTCACTAGGGCCATCTGGGGTGCCAGAATGGGGGTGGAGAGAGGGAGAATAGTAGATAGCCCAAGGGAGAGTCTTGGGCTGGTTGAAGTCTCAAGCTAGCTGGAGGAGTAGCAGGTAGCCTCCTACCTGGAACTGATGCATGAAGATGACCACCCTATTGAGGATTAAGTGGAAGAAAATGCACTATAGACAGGAGGGATCATGGATGCCAGACAGACCAGTTTGAGACTTAGAGGAAGGTGAGTCTTGTTGGAGCATGAAGTGTGTGCTCAGAGCCACACGGAGCCTGGCAGCTAAGCTGGCAGGGATATACTCCCCTGCATATGATCCAGGAGAGGGGCCTGACAGGATAGAACAGCTGGGCAAGGGTGAACCCTGTGTGACCTGAAAAGGCTGCAGTAGTTGTCCCAAGAAGATGGTAGCATTGAAGGTGGTGGGAAGGCTAGGGAGGTCCCTGGATTGGGCCAAGGGGAAGCAGGACTGAGAGTATGGGCCCCTGTAGTGGACAGGGAAGGGGACATCAAGGAGGACCTACCTACAAAAAAGGGAGTAGTCCACAGGTCTGCAGAAGGAAGAAAGTACCAAGTTACAGAGTGGTTGGGAGGAGGTATCCCACTTTTCAGGGAAAAATTGGATGGAGACAAGTGAGGATGACAGATGTTGTGGTTTAGACATTAGGTGTCCCCCAAAAAGCTCTTGTATAAGACAATATAAGAAAGCTTAGGAGTGAAATGATTGGGTTATGAGAATCTTAACCTAATCAGTATTAATCCACTCTAGGGATTAACTGGATGGTAACTGTAGGCAGGTAAGGGCTAAAGGAGGTGGTTTTCTGGGGGCATGCCTCTGGGATATATATTTTGTATTGGTTGAGCAGAGCTATTCCAGCTGCTTTCCACCACCACACCCTTCCACCATGATATTCTGCCTCACCTCAGCCCCAAGGAATGGAGTTGGTCATCTAAGGGCTAAGATTACTGAAACTGTGAGCCCTAAAATAAACTCTTCCTCTTCTAAAACTGTTCTTCTCAGGTCTTTTGGTCACAGCAGTGAAAAAGCTGACTAAAATGACAGCCCCCACCCCCATTCCAAGGCCCAGAAAACTTGCCTTCAGTACCTCCCCAGATGGGATGAACCAGGCACTGGTCTTATCTCATTTACTCCATTCAGAGCCACCTTTTTTTTTTTTTTTTTTAAGAGAACTTTTTAATATTTATTTTTTAGTTTTTTTTTCGGCAGACACAACATCTTTGTTTGTATGTGGTGCTGAGGCTCGAACCCGGGCCGCACACATGCCAGGCAAGCGAGCTACCGCTTGAGCCAAATCCCCAGCCCTCAGAGCCACCTTAAGAGAAGGAATCTGGGCCCTGTGAGGGAGAGATCTATCAAAGCCCCCATGTCTGTGATTGGCATCAACAATATCATCCCTTCTCTGTGGAGGGCCTGAGCACTTTGGACCAGAGAAAAAAAATGTATCCTGCAGTCTCAGTCCAGGGCTGACAGTCCAGACTTGGTTGAAAACAAAGGAGCCTTCAGGGAATGGGGAGGGACTGCTGGAAAGGGGCTGGTGCCCCCATGGGTTTGTGGGCTGTGGGGTCTGGTGCCCCCACCTGAGCCTCAGGGGGCTCAATGTGTCCACCCCAGTGGACCTTTCAAGAAATGGCTGGGCCATTGTGCAGAAGAATGCCCGGAAATCCCGCACCTCCCTCCTCCAGCGAGGATGGGGGCTCTTCCTCCTGGTCAGGAAACTCCAAGTTGGCTTCCGGAAGGTGGCCTGGGGGCTGGGGTGGCAGGGCATCACCGACACTAGTGGGAGGGCAGGACACAGTCCTTTTGTGTCCCTTTGTTTCTTCTGTTCAAGGACCCGGAGTAGGCTGCCCAGCATGGGGCCACTGCTGCCCATGGGAGCACAGCCTATACGCTGGGTAACTGAGGAACACTAGGGACTTCCTGAAGTGGTGTTGCCTGAGCTGGGCCTCAAAGAATGGGGGATGGGCATCATCACGGGAAAAGGAACAGCCAGGCAAAAGTTGAGGGCTATGGAAGCTCCCCTCCCTCACAGGGGTAAAGTAGGGTTATTCAGGAAAGTCCCCTGCGCCGCCCACTTTGGGATAGAGTCTGAGGCTCCAGGGAGGCATGAAGGTGGTGGTGTTGGGCAGGATTTTGAATTTGGGATCCTGGGACCGATCACTATAGCTCTGCCTCGGACTCAGAGATGCACTGGAGAATGAGAGTGCAGAAAACGCGCCTAGTTTGGACTACAGGGCAGACTCTGAAGGCAGACCTAGGTGTCTCACCTGAGAGAAGAGAAGGACCTGTGACACCGCCCTCCCCCCGCACCAGGCCTCTTCGCGGTGGTGTTGGGATAGGAGGCTCCTGCAGACCTTGGTCGGGGATGAATGCAGTTGGTCCGGGTGGGAAGGACCATCAGAGTTCGAGATGTAGGCGTGGTACTGTACAGGCTGGAGGTTATATATCTCTTAAAGTGGCAGGTCCGGCACATGCAAGAGGTGGTTCGCTCCAGACCATCCCAGAATGGGCCACACCGCGACTAGGACAACAGCAGGGTTGGGGCTCTGAGGTAGGGGCTGGGCCGAAAGCGGCCGGGGCGCCGTCGGCTACCCTCAAGCGCAATTGTTCACTTAACTCCAGCTGGCGGGGCGGGGGGTGAGGGGTGGGGTTAAGGGAAGCCTGGGATTGGTTGCGGGCTGATGGCCAGCGAATGGATTGGCTGCAGTGGTCTGTGAGTTTGGGTCCCGGAAGCAGAGTCCGCCCCCCGAGACTTCAAAAGGTGGGCCCCCAAGAGGCTCCTGCAGAGTTGAGGCAGTGCCGCAGGCCCGCAGGGTAAGCAGACTGCTAGTGGTGAGGTGGCTGAGTGGGCGCAAACGAACCAGGGTACTAGGGTGGGCGCAGGGCGCCGAGTCGCATCGCCAAAGCAGTGAGGCTCGCTCCGGGAGGCCCAGGGGCCAGAGCGCGCGCACCTCGCCTCCAGACATGGGGTCGGCAGCGTTAGAAATTTTGGGTCTGGTGCTGTGCCTAGTGGGCTGGGTAGGCCTGATACTGGCATGCGGACTGCCCATGTGGCAGGTGACCGCCTTCCTGGACCACAACATCGTGACAGCGCAGACCACATGGAAGGGGCTGTGGATGTCATGTGTGGTGCAGAGCACAGGGCACATGCAGTGCAAGGTGTATGAGTCTGTGCTGGCACTGAGCACCGAGGTGCAGGCGGCGAGGGCGCTCACCGTCGGCGCGGTGCTACTGGCGCTGGTTGCGCTCTTCGTAAGCCTGGCGGGCGCACAGTGCACTACCTGTGTGGCCCCAGGCCCAGCTAAAGCCCGCGTGGCTCTCACAGGCGGGGTGCTTTATGCGCTGTGCGGGCTGCTGGCACTCGTGCCACTCTGCTGGTTCGCCAACATCGTAGTCCGTGAGTTCTACGACCCGGCGGTGCCAGTGTCACAGAAGTATGAGCTGGGTGCTGCCTTGTACATCGGGTGGGCGGCCTCTGCTTTGCTCATGTGCGGTGGCGGCCTCGTGTGCTGCGGAGCCTGGGTCTGCGCTGGCCGCCCGGACCTCAGCTTTCCAGTCAAGTATTCTGCGCCACGGCGGCCGACGGCCAGCGGTGACTACGACAAGAAGAACTACGTCTGAAGGCGCAGGGTACAGCGGTGTCCCTCCCGGCAGCCAAGCGAGCGAACGGAAGAACCAGACCGAAGCGCAGCGCACGGACGGCAGCCGCGGTAGGGTTGAGCCGCGCACAGATCGTGGAACATCTGGCTCTGCGTACTGACAGGACCTGCCAGGGTCCGAACCCCGTTCTCTGTGACCTCCACCAACCAAGCTCTGGCCCTCGCCCTGTACTAAACAGACGACGCGTACTTGTGAGGACTTTATAGTTTTCTTTTCCACGCGCTGAGGTGACTATGACGTGGGTAGGACTCTTGGCTTCCTTCGGCCGAGTGGGCACTGCAGATGCCAATTCCTTCCCGACCCTGGGTGGGTGGGTGGGGTCTTGCATGCTGCCTTAGTTCCCTGCAGCTTTGCCTGAATTCGTTAGAGCAGAGCCCACAGTCCCAAATCTGGGCTGCTGAAGGGACGTGTAAAAAACAGCCTTTTTTCTCGGCGCTTGGGCTCAAGGGACCGAGGGACTTGGCTTGGACCTCCCTGTCTCACACCCATCATTCTCCCCACCACAGGCGAGGCTTGCAGGCACCAGAACATGAGCTGGGGCACTGCCCTCTTTGCAGCTGGGGTGGGGGTCGGGAGGTTAAGAATTTGCTTAGTAAATGGTTTTAACACTCTGGCCTGCGTACTGTCCTCTGTTTAGTTATCCCTGTGCCCAGCACCTCCATTCACCCACCCATCCGCAGACTCCTCTCTGAAGTCTCCTATGAGGACCTCTCAGGGCTGCTCCCTAGGGCTCCATGATCTTTTCCCTAGTCCTTCCTGCCACCTCATCACCCTCCCACCAGGTGGGAGACAAACAACCTAGATCACCACAACCTAGGAAGATGGGAAGAGGCTGTCATGAGGCCACAGTTGGGAGGGATGGAGGCAGACCCTAGTAGAGGATCAGGCTGAAATACCCAGCAAAAGACTGGGAAGTGGGGACTTGAAATGTGGGAAGTACCGAGGGTGGGCAGCCTGGTTGCTTCCCCCAGAAAAGACACAATCCCCCTATGAACCAAAATGAGGTTTTCTACCTGCCCTTCCATGGCTTGCCTAGCTCTGAGTAACATCAAGCAGCCAGACATCTGCACAAAGCCAATCAGGCCCTTTCCAACAGCAGGGTGGGAAGGAGTGAATCCAGGATGTGTTCGTTCTAGCAAGGTTTGCTGGAGGGACAACAGTGTTGCCATGGGGAGAAGAGGCCTGTTGCCCAGACTACCTCAGCTCTGCTCCAGCCCCTTGTCCTGGCTCCTCTGCCAGTCACAGCATGGCTCTGTGTAGGGTCTCTGCCTACCCTGCTGCCTGGCAGGCAGACCAATCTGATACAGACTGTGTGGCCCTTCCTACCTTTTGTGTTGGTGGGAGCTGTTCCAGAAGGGCAGGGCAGAGCGATCTATTCTATTTGGAAAAATCATAGTTTCTAACCCTGTTTTAGGCACTTTGAATTTGTGCACTTTTACTTTCTACCAAAAGACCAGGAGATGAATAGAGCAGTGGGGGAGGGGAGAGCAAGGTGCTTCAGGCCCAGCCAGCAGGAAGGCTTGGCATCTGCCTCCAACCTAGCCTCTAGAGCTCTGCCCAGAAATGCTTGGGTCATGTCCAATAATAGTGAGGAGCCTCCCAAGCCTGGCCAGGTTCCCCATCCTAGGGAGGAGAAAGAGCCCTAAGGATGTGGGCTCAGAAGTGCTCAGGGTAAATTCCAGTAAGTCACAGGGGAGCCAGCAGGTGGAAATTCTGGGGAGGTTGAACTTTCTGATGGCCTAAGTCCTCATCAATGGAAGCTACAGTGAGGGCCCCACTACCCAGAGGTCCTCAGCAGGGCCTGAACCTGGGCCTGGGTAGCAGGGACCAGAAACAGACCTTGAGTTTATAAGTATATGATACTAGAGCATGATCCTGGGTGGTGCCAAAGCAAAGGTTCTTATATGATTACACCTGGTAGCTGGGGCCTAGTAGTGTGGGAGTCCAAGAAGGTGTTCAGCCCAGAGCTGAGCCCTGAGGCTATCCTGAGGTGGCTCATCCCACACAAACCCTTTTCCAGAGTACAGAATATGGAAGGGCAGCTGTACAACCTCTAAGCTTTTCCAAATGGCTAGGGTGAGCAGCTTGAGGGCCTGGGGAGACAGACCTGCCTGATCCAAGCCAGGAAAGGCCTGGGTAAACTCCAACTCATGATCAATGGTACCACTAGAAGTCAGAGGAAAGGAGCTAGCCTCCAATCCAGTTGACCCCACTGTCCTTTTCAAGGGCACCCCACCTATCTGTGTCCTCATTGCCAAACCACTCGTTGCAGGCTTTTCCCCACTGATGTACAACCTGCCTAAGGACTGTCAAATGCTAAATACCCCACCTCCAGCAGCCCAAATGCCTCACGGTGGATATTTCCCGCCAGCCTGCCTATTTCCCCAGCACCCATGTCCCCTGGCAGTGGCCACAGATTTGTGTTAACAACTCTCTTCAATAGGAAGGGAAGGAACCACCCTCTCCTCTGGTGCTCAGGAGACATCTAGGAAGGGTGGAGGAACTAACCCCAGGACTTCCCTAACTAGGAAGTCCTTGCTGCCCTGAATGTTGTGGAAGATGCTGAATTCCCATTCAGTTTGGAACTTCTGTGTCCAGGATGTGGCTGATGCCTACAGCTGGGCCTCGGGGATATAGTGTCTCTACTTGTGACATGCTCAACCAGTCAGGTCCTTCCTGGCCTGAAGCCTTCCCTTTGCTGTTTTCCTTTTCTGCAGAATGGTATGCCCACTGCTTGTCAGCAGAGATCAGGACACCTGGACAGATACTGAATGATGAGGCAAGGGCCAGTGTGTGTATTAGAGGGTGGTCAAGAGGGCAGACTTGTTGGAATAACTTTCACTTTGCAGCTACCAGCTATGAGCAACTCAGAGTGTTAGGAAAAACCTACGCTCATACAGGCCTGATAAGAACATCTGCAGGATGGGGCGCTCTGCTCTAGCAAGCCATCAGTGAAACTACATCCTCAGTGCTTGAGGTCTGCGTTGCGAAGCTACCAGGCCAGGAAACCTAGAGTTAGATGCTTCAGGGCATGAAACCCCTGACTCATAACGGCCCCTCCCCTAGGGACAAAGATCCTTCCAGACTGCTTCCCATCACGTAGCAATATTTAGAGCTTCATCATAGCGCAGTTACATTAGACATAAGATGATTGGTTTCTAGATGTTATATAACCTGCTTGCTTATGTATGATTGGAAGATGCATTCTGTATCAATTGTAATCACTTCCACATTAAGTGAGCTGCTGGACATCAGCTGAGGTTGCCACCTGCCTGCTCTCTCACCAGCTTATCAGCTCCTGGTGTCTGTGTATTGACTCCATGTCTCTACCCGCCCGTGACTGAGGTAGCCGAGTGACCAACTCAACCACACCAGTAGACTGACAAAACCCACACAGACTTACAATGTTGACAAGGCCAGCCAGACAGAAGGAAGTGGTAGACAGGTAGAACCAGGTCCCATTTGATCTTGCTGGACAGTGGTTGGTGCAGGTATCATGAGGAGATCCCAGACTCTGGTGCTGTAGGGCCCAGCTTCCTACTACCATTGAGAGGTCTAGATGATAGGGTCCTTAGGGTGTGGAGGAGGGGGAGGCACATCTCTGTGCTTCCTGGCATGGAGGATGCTGGGGACAAAGGACCAAGCCTCCCGTGGACCCAAGGAAGGAAGGTTCAGGGCACATCTAAGTGCTGGCCCCAAGAGCAGAGCATTAATGGGGAAACAGAACTTAAAATAAGTATTTTATTCCATTAAAAGCCACTATCCCTGCATCTCAAACTATACCCATAATTTAAAATCTAAATAAAAGCCAATTAAATATAAATAAAGAGAAGGAGGTCATTTCTGAAGAAATCAAATTCTGGAAAAGAAAAGGAAAAAAAGGTTTCAAACAAGTCTGATGTCTCAAATGTAACAAACTGCCCAGGCCTTCCCTCTGGCTTGCTGGGCTGCTGCTTTTGAGCAGCCTCAACCCCAGGGGTGAGGGCAGGTATCCCCAGGATAGAAAGCCACCCCAGATCCACCAAGGTACCCATCATTCTCTGCTGGGATTTGAGCTGTCCACATGAGAGCCCCGAATGCCCTCGGGGGCCCCAAACACTTTCTTTCTTGGAAGACCCCACTTAGCTGTTTATCTTTCTAGGGTGGCCCCATGGCACCTTACTGAGGCTTCTCTCCTTACTTTGCCTGGCCAGTTCCCCATCTCTTGCCCCCTTTATCCCTCAGCATGCAGCATTTTCCCACCTCCCATTAGGCACCTCACCCCTGCCTGGCCAGCAGGATGCACACAGCAGGGTTGATATCAGATTGCAAGGAAGAGGTCTGCCTCCAATGCAGGTCCACTGCCTGAGAGCTCCCATATGTAACCTTACACCTCTGCTCCCAAATAAAGAGCCGGGTACTCATGCTCCCAACTCACTGTCTAAGGGTATCAGCCAAATATACTCAGGCTCAAAGTCACTGCTGATAGATAACACAGACCTCACTGAGAACCCAGAACCTGTTCCCCCAATATGGTCCTGTACATTTAAGCCCCTCGGAGGGATGGACTACAGGGTCCCCAAGACCCCCTATACTATTCTGGTCTCTGTCCCCTGTGTTTTTCAGCTCACCATGGATAGGGGGAGCAGAGAGGACTACTTGTCTCAGGAGACCCTCTACATCAGAGCCTTGGCAGGGTCATCTGCCACAGCAATAGACTCCGGCCTAGGGCTAGCAAGAGTATTCACTGTAGAAGCTCTGGGATAACAAACGGTCACACAGAAAAGGTTGCCTATCCCCACTTCCCAAAGGACCTTCAAGAAAGAGGTGGTATGTGGGACAGTAGGGAGAACCTGGCTGGGGAGGTATCTTGGGTCACAGTGGCTTGTTGGTGGCTCACAATGAGCCTCTTAGGACAGCCATTCACTGGTGAAGGCTCGTGACATTTTGTAATTTGCAGCTGAGCAGCTGCCAACAACTTTGCTTTTTCAAACATCGAGTACACCAAAGCCCAGATAGTTGGCTCTGTAGACTCCAGCACAGAGCCTGACATGAAGGCTGTGGGAGCAGGAGGCTCTAGGTGACCTCTGAGGGCAGAGCCAGAGAGTTTGTGTGTCCCAAGTGTCCCACATGCAATGCCCAATCCCATGGTGTGGTCAGCAGAGGGCGAATGCCAGGTCTTTCTGAAGAGATTAACAGGATTTAATGAAATTAGGTTCCTAAAAAATGCCCCATTGTGGCCCTGCTGGCGGCCTAAGGACAGGCATTCTTGGAAAAAATATATTGGTCCCAAATCTTCTCAAAAACCCATCTGAAACCCAAGTAAAAGACTCCATTGAGGAAGGACAAAGCTGGGACTCAGGATAGGGCTGTGATAAGGCAGGAAGCCAGGTCATCTTGAGGACCCCAATCTTCCCCCCAGCTCACCTCAGGACAGCAGGGAGACAAGGGCATCCAGGAACTTGCTCCGATCCTCAGCCTTCAGCTCAATTACTAAGTAATGAAAGAAAAACATCTTGTGAGAAGGGAGGAGTGAGAAAAACAAGGCAAGAAACGTGAACTCCCTCTTCCTGACACTCTTAGACCTAAGCAGCCTTCTACTACATTCCAAACTGTATAGGCTCTTCCATGGCC